TGGCCAGATTATTATGACCACCCCATCAGTACTTCGTTGGGCCGCCTCGTGACTCCACGAGATGTTGAAAGGTGATGCGAGGAATCTGACACTGCACTGTTGCCCTTCTGTTGTCTTGTACCAGTCTTGCCACTCTCCGTTCTGCCCTAACATTGACTAGTCGCTGACGGCCACAATTTGCACGTTCAGACCCAGATTTTCGGCTGACAGTCCAGTCTTTAAACACTTTAACAACAGCTGCTCTTGAACATTTAACAAATTCTGCTGTTTTGCTGATACTCGCTCCATGGCTCCGAGCGCCAACAATCATCCTGCGTTCAAAGGCTGTTAAATCGCGTTGTTTCCCCATATCTTCAGAAAAAAATCACTTCTACTGTCGTGGTAAACAACCTGCTTCCCTATTTATAATGGTCTGGCCCTCTAGCAACTTCAGCGCGAAATTATAGCTAATTTGCCTACAAACGTCAGGTGGTCATAATAAACTGGCCACTCGGGTGTATAGAGGTATAAGGTCAATGCAGATGCAGTCTGACCCTCCCAAGGGCTAGCCCTTGCAAGAACGCGCTGTTAACTTGTAAGCTTGGAGAGGGTAGAGCGGGAGTTTTGGGTGGCCTGTTAGTAAGCGGGATGGGATTTAAAACCCATATTCACCTTTGCGGAGGAATTTTTAAAAACACGTATGCCAGCAATGTACAGCGAGTTTGCATGAAGCAGGCATATGCAGTTGCTGTACAGGTGAAACTCGAATAATTAGAATATCGTGCAAAAGTAATGGCAGTAAGTGCTGCAAAAGGGGCCCAAACCAAGTACTGAGTACATATGCATGCTTGTACTTTTCAGAGGTCCGATATTGTTCTATGTACAATCCTTGTTTTATTGATTGCATGTAATAATCTACTTTTTTGAGGTTGTGGATTTGGGGTTCTTGGGGTTTTCATGAGCTGTAAGCCATAATCATCACAATTATGACAAATCACGGCTTGAATTATCTTGCTTTGCATGTAATGAGTCTATCTCATATATTAGTTTCACCTTTTAAGTTGCATTAGTGAAATAAATGAACTTTGCACAATATTCTAATTATTCGAGTTTCACCTGTATATGAACACAAAAACTTAGGTTTCTTTTATTTTTTTTTTATTTGTAAGCTTTCCTCTCATATCCTCATGAAAATGGTTGCCTCTGTGCTCTACAAGCAATGTGTGTATATTACAACTGAGCTCTCCACCCCCATTCATTAGTATTCATAGTGGTAATCCCCTGGACAGTGTATTATGTGCAAAGGCAGAGCTGGTGGCTTTAGTGATTGTGTTACATAGAATCGCAGGGAGGGGGGCAGCTGTTTACACTGTTGGTAGATTTCCTGATGGGATGACTCTTGTTTCATGTCAATGATTACCCTTAGGGTGACTATAAATGAATAATTATACGTTTGAAGTGTGGTATGAGAATGTAGAATAACCACTGAGCCATGATTCCAATGAATATTTACAGCTGTAAAAAGAGAGAGACTGGTTTATGATTTGAATGTGAATGTTTAGGGATGGTCATCAGTTCACTCTCACCTGGTCCAGTCAAGGCGCACTTTGTTTTGGGGATGCTGAAATTGTGGAAGGTCGTCAGGAACTGTATACAGCCTGTAACCTGTCAACTCTTTGTAGAGGAACGTGGTGAGTTCTGGAGTCGTGCCTCAGATCTCTCTGATTATGGGCCCCTGTGCAGGAGGAGCTGTCTATTCCCCGGCCCTAACTGACTTCACATTCATGGTTAAGGTAAGAGCGTGATTCATATAGCACAGCTGAGTGTAGCTGCAGCATGCTGGCTGCTTGCAATAGTTCATGGGATGGGTAAATACTCTGAGGGCCACCCACTGCTAAGATGTGCTGATTCTTATTACCAGAACATACACGATGGGCACCCGGGACCAGCCTAACCTGTACAGATCACCCATGAAAATCCCACACAACTTGCTGTTAATGTGCCCAGAGACACGAGATGAGCAGGACCTTGTCCAGCCGGTTTCAGTTGGTTTGCCATCAATCCTATAAATATGGAAAATATTTTAGTGATTATAGCAAAATAAAATCTGTTCTCCACTCCGTGTCGTCTCTCTGTCTTCAGATTGTCCATTCTCTCTTGGTTCAGTTGAATAGCTGGCTTTTCTCTGCTAAATACTCAGTACTCTTATTTTATTGGACGACTCCATCATGTGACATGCCATCTGTACATAGTAGATGCTCATGTATCTCATTCAGAGTTGTGGCCTCCATGCTGGCAAGAGCTGACTTCCTATTGGATAATCCCTTCGTTGGGGCTAAAAAAGACTTTGCAGGTGTAGCATTAGTGTAATTGGTGTGTAGGCCTATGAGCTTAGAGCGGGATCTGTACAGAGACCAGTTCTTTTATTCCATTCGTGCTGTAGAAATGGGAAGAGTTTGGTTGCTTTTTCTTCGCTCCTGTTATGTCTATTCTGCATAATAGTGTGCATGTGTTTTCTTTCCCAGGACACTTCCTACCTCTTCATTACCGGCCCAGATGTAGTGAAGTCCGTGACCAATGAGGATGTGACGCAAGAAGACCTAGGAGGAGCTAAAACCCACACTGCCCTATCAGGTTATTGCAGTTTGTTAACGTGGTAAATGAGCAGATTGCTTCTCATTAATGTACAATTCATATTTTCTTTACACCAGATACTGCAGCCAGCACTGTACTTCTGCACCTCTGCCGCTATGAGTGGTGCAACTCGCATACCCAGAAGCCCTTTTGTCATTCCCCTTGTAGTCTTGTTTTATCCCAGAAGCCCTTGTGTCATTTCCCCCTTCTCTCCCCTTGTCCATTCACAAATCACCTTGAGGGGAATTTATCAAATCTGGTGCAGCTTTGCATGGCAACCAATCGGCTTCTCTCTTTCATTTTCAAATCTTAACTGAACAAGCTGAAGAGAGGAGGTGATTAGTTGACATGGGCAACGGCTCCAGATTTTGCCTGCTCCAGACAGATAAATCCCCCCCCTTTTGTATTCTATGAACCATTTAAAATACAAGGCCTTGTGTGGCCAAGGGGAAAAGGGAAAGCTATGCCTTCTGTTTTATGAGAGCCTCAGCAGGCCAGAAGTACAGTGCTGGCTGTAGTATCTGGCATAAAGAAAATTTGGAATTGTACAATACAGAGCAGCGATTTGCTCATTAAGTACCGTGCTGCACTTCAATTTATTGTGTTCTATCTATCTAGCCCCCCCCTTGTAGTCTTGTTTTACCCCAGAAGACCTTGTGTGAATGTAACTATTGTCCCACAAATAGGAAAATACTTGTCAGCCAAATATGATTGTTTGATCAGATGACGGCACCCTGAAACATATGGGGCAGCAGCAGTTTCATCGTCCAATGATGTTGTCACTCAGAGAGCATTTACAGATCTATATTTCTACTTAACACACTTCAGGGACATTTGAGGCAACAAGTGAAATCAGCGACATGCTCTCCAGAAACCAATGCAGCGTTTCTAAAGTCAAATTCTTCTCCATTTACCATCAGCTGGTCTTTTGTGGGCAATGACCATAATAATACACCGTTGTGGGCAATAACCAGCCACTGGCATGACCCCGGAAGCGGCTGGGCAATTGACGGCGGGCATTCGATCTGCTTTGATGTGAATTTTCTCTTTGGCTTTTCAGGGGTGGCCCATCGAGCTTTTGAAAATGACATTGATGCCTTATTAAACCTGCGGGAATTCTTCAACTACCTTCCACTAAGCAACAAGGACGCGGCACCAGTCAGAGAGTGTCATGACCCAAGGTGAGCTCTATACTTCCAGGTGTCCCGGCACACCACATAATGACAGTTTTTGTAAACGACAAGCTAAATTGTCCTGTAATTAGGAAACTTTGTGTAACCAGCCTAATAATAACCGTTCTCAGCCCCCCAACGCAGACAAGCTGAACCCTGGAAATGTCAGCGTCCTGTAGAAAGCCATCATTTATAGACCTGCTTAGATCAGTCTGGGTTCTCAATCAATGTGTTGATGAGATGAATATACTGTAGGTGATTGCTTGGAGGCCTTGTACCACAGTAGCTGGTATCTAAAGTGTCAGTTTTTTTGGCACCTGATGCTTGCCAGAGCTTTGGGCCACCTTTAAATAGCCAATGACTATGATTATTGCAGGATGTCCCCCTTTTTTAGGTAGGTTATCATTTTAGCTGTTTGTGAAAAAGGTTTTCAGAGGGAAGTTCTCTAGAACTGGATACACACAAAGGCGAGTGAGCAATACTACTGGATCCCTGTTTCTAAGGACAGGATGGGTAAAAGAGTTCATCATCTCAATATAGCCAAAAACGTGACAAAGAATGAAACCTGATTAATAAAGGTTATTAGGGGCATCCAATGACGGGACAGATGTATGAGCTGGGCAATTAAACCAACATTCCATTTCACTTTTCTAAGGGGGAGATGTGTGTGCTGAAGCGTCCGGGGAATTTAGAATAATTTCTGTTATTTCAAATCTTAACTCTGCACATAATATCACAAGTGCCGGACACAGATCACATGAGCCAGTATATCATCTGTATATGGAGGTGTATGTCCCTTCATAGTCCCTACCCGAAGTCCTGCTGAAGGCGCTATGGTCAGCACAACAACACGGAAGAGGAAATAATACGGGGAGGGGGGGGTTCTCAAAATCTGGGGCAGCCAACCAGCTTCTCCCTTCAGTTTGTTCGGTAAAGCTTTGAAAATGAGAGAAGCTGATTGGTTGCCATGCACAGCTGCTCCAGGTCTTGTCTGCTCCACTTTTGATTCCCTTCATTGTGTTTAAATAAGCGTCAATGTTGTCTGAAGATGGCGTGAATCATTGCATAGGATAATAATCCAGTGTTTGCTTGTCCTCTCTGTGTGATAATGACTCTTCAGTTTGTCTTGTCATTCTGTTGAAAAGCTGGATTTTTCTAGCTGTAGTAATTCCATTTCCATACATTGATTATTGTTTGTCTCCCAGCGATCGTCTCGTGCCTGGATTAGACACCATAGTTCCCATGGAGACCACTAAAGCCTATGACATGCTGGACATCGTCCATTCGGTAATGCTGTAGTGATGTAGCTGCCTTGCTGTTATTATTCTAGTCAGGTGACATACAGAGGTGAATGGTTTTCAAGCTGTTGTCCCTTCTCCCATGATAATCAAATGTGGAATTCAGCAGCCCGTCAGTCAGTCCAATCAGTGGACCTGCGCTTTGCTTGGAAAGCTGCAAATCCCGGACTGGACCCCCAGATGTTTTGCTTGGAAACAAGTTCCATGGTAAAGTCCCCAATTCACCTTTGGGCTGCTGGCTTTTATTAGGACAACGTGGCAGCCCATCTGTGGGTGGTGCCCCTCAAGACTTGTATGAGAGTGAAATACAATGTATTTCACTTTCCCACCTCTAGGTGGCAGCAGAGCATCCGGAATTGCCATCAGTAGTCAATGGTGCCAAAAATGTCTAAATAAGTCTTGACCAGCCCAGGCGTGCTTATTTATGTAACGTTTCCCCATAACAATGTCCCATTATGAATACACTGGATATGAACAATGGGGAAACAATACAGAGCAACCATACCATTTATCAAAAACCTATTTGGTCTGTTTAGAAGGCACCCTCCATTGTGAGAAACCAGCTCTCTGTCAACAGCTGAGCAGACCACGTGTCTCCTTTGCAAATTTCCTGTGTGCCTGAAAAATCCATTAGCAGATTTCAATTATATATATATATACACACACACAACACAACCAGCGAGCACTGTTTCCTCATCGGAAGATCCATACATTGGGGGTCATTTATTGGCTGCCTGGCCAGCTCTTTGCATCACGGGGTCATAAAATCAGAGATCATACGTGTCCTACTGTCTGTATCTTGCTGTAGAAGTTTTGGCATTGGAACTGGCTATGTTGTCTTCCTGTGTGGGGCCATAAGTGACTCCAACCGGGAGAGTGTAAGAAATGTCCTGTGTGTTTCCATGCGGCATTGTTCTCCCTCTCTCCCGCAGTTTTAGGGACATTACATTCTGATCACTAGGAGCACAATGTTTTGTGGGATTTTGCTACGTTCCCTAGTCGGGTATTTGTATAACACAGACACGTGTGACATTTCCCACATGACGGACACGTGTGACATTTCCCACATGACGGACACGTGTGACATTTCCCACATGAATTAGGTTATATAGATGTCATGTGGGAAATGTCACACGTGTCCGTCATGTGGGAAATGTCACACGTGTCCGACATTTCCCACATGACATCTATATAACCTAATTCTATACACTCCATATTAGATCCAGGCAGGAAGCAGTAATGGCCCCTGTATATATTATCTGTGTGAGGTACTAATACGGGGAAGTGACGTCTGTTTCCTCTTCTTCCAGATTGTTGACGAGCGAGACTTCTTTGAGATTATGCCAAACTACGCTAAAAACATTATAGTGGGCTTTGCCAGGATGAATGGCGGGACGGTCGGCATTGTTGGAAACCAGCCAAAAGTGGCATCGGGTACTTGATGTGTGGCCATCCAGACAACTTCCGAGCAATTGGAGAGAAATGTTTTCACAGGAATCCTTTTATTGAGAGAGAATTGTGTCCCTTCTGAAAATGTGCGCTGCCTGGCTGTGCCTGGCTTCAGGAAATAGATCCGAGTAGTCGGATTGAAATACTTTGTATCCAGATCAGTGACTTAAGGTGCCCATACACTTACCGATTAGTACGATATTCGGCAGGTGTATGGGCAGCGTGCGACCGCTTCTACTGCAAAAAGTTTCCCAGCACACTCGCCAGCCAGCATGCAAAAACTTGTTTCACCGCTAAGGTTAAAAACTTCTACTGTACGGTCGCACGACATTCGTCTTCCCAGCACGCTGGAAAACCTGCCGAAAATCGTATGATTTGCGGCGAGTTAGTGGCGTGCCCTGAAGACCAATGCCGCACGGCCCGGTGTGTGCAAGCGCACACTGCCCGCTCAGCACTGCAATCATTGGAAGCCCGCCCCTCAGCGGGAAGTACGATCTGTCTGTCCAAGATGGGCAGGTCGTACGAACTTTGAATCACCTTACAACCATCGCAAGACAAAAGTCGTGTGATGGTTGTAAGGTGTATGGGCAGCTTTAGAAAGTGCTGAAACAAGAGAATCGATGTGACTGTCAGGCAATCAGCATTTTCAGAAGGAGATGTTGGCATTGGCAGCCCACCTATTTCCCTGCAATTCTCCTATAGATCCAGAGGCTGCTCCATCCTCTACATATGGATAACAAACCGCTTGCTTCCACTTCCTGTATCGCCAAAACCGTTTCTGTGCCGAGCCTGACACTGCCCACCCCCTCCCATTGAGTGTCGGGGCCCCATGGGTGGGCTCTTTCTGTATCATTGTAACCAAAGCCTGATCCAGCCAATGGCTGAATTATTTCGTTTTTTCTTTGGTGCTGTGCAAGTGCTTGGATTGTATGCGTGGAGGCCTCATATAACAATCCATCCAGCACCCCACGCATGGCAGATATTGAGGAATGAAATGTTGTAGTGGAAGCAATCCCAATACACGAGCAGACCCGTCGGCCTGTGCAGGGGAAGCGGTGTACATGGTGCTCAGGTCTCGTATGTCATAAACAATTACAGGAGAACGTCAACTGACAATGTCCATCTTTCTACTCACTGCCACGTCCTGCTGATTCATGGGACAGGAAGCTTTGTGTATCTTGTGCTATTGTGGATTCAGGGAGACGCCATTTATTGGCAAACTAAATAGAGCGCAGTGCAAGCTTTCCAAGCACACCGGCCTCTTCTTCAGGCAGTGTCGCCTATGTGGAGAGATATGGCCCTAACGGTTCTGCTGTCTATGTATAACGCAGTACAACAGACTGCGGCTCTATCTTGTGCTACAATCTGCAAACAACAAGCAGCAGAAAATAAATGTGCCAATAGAAGTTCTAATTGGGATCCAGAATGACGGTCTCCTTATCCGAGTGGAGACCATTAGCAGAATATCCGTCCTTTCATTTAGGAGGACACAGTGTCCAGAATTGGTCTCCTTATAATTCAGATGGAACCTGTAACCAGAATAACCGTCCCTCCATTTTCTTGTCTCCTCTCCTAAAGGGTGCCTGGACATCAATTCCTCTGTGAAAGGAGCTCGCTTCGTAAGATTCTGCGATGCCTTCAATATCCCCATCATCACGTTTGTTGATGTGCCAGGATTTTTACCAGGTGATGTTTTATCATTTCACTTTATGATATAGAAGTCCTAATCCCTTATTAAATGTTACCATAGTGTCACACAGCGTTTACTGGCTGCTGCGGATTGCATTTATGGGTCAGTAACGGCACATACTCAGTCCAGCCTATTCATAGCAGGGG